GTGTGTGTGTGTGTGTGTGTAGCTTTGGCCTGACTTGCCACTGCTTTGATCTCTGGGCCTCAGACTCCAGACACATCTGATTCAATTATCCTCATCCACCTGTTGACTTAGAGGCCCAAAATTGCAAAGCTTGCCCTCCCCATCCAAGGTTCAGAGGTGCGTGTGTGCGTGTGTGTGTGTGTGTGTGTGTGTGTGTGTGTGTAAGTGTGTAAGGAAAGAACTGTCTGATTACACAAAAGCTGAGATCTTTTGTTTGAGAATTCAGGTAGTAGTTGATGAGACATTCATGAAAACAGTATTGGAAGTGTTTGAAGCTGATGTAGAAATCCGTGCACTGGTGCTGTGATCATGAGTGTTTTGCTGAAATATCACACGATGTACACAAGCAGTAATCACTGTATGTTGACGTAGCTTCTAGGACTGTTGTCATTTATGTGGATGCTTTACACTCTGAAATTAATTATGCACAACAACAAATTAAATTATCAACAAATGTGGCTCAGTCATAACCTGACTCTGAGGTGACATGCCTGAGAATCTAACATACATACCAAGAGGTGGGGCAGATGGTAGCTGCAATCTTGTTTTATACCATGGACATAAACTACTTCCAGTTTTATCACCTGAGTCTCAGTACCATGATGGGATTAGATCAGAGCCCTACTTACCACAGTCTTTGACATAAATATTTTAATAAAAAAGAATACTTAGAAAAATATACAGCATTTGCCAGAAAAACGTTCCATGTGTACTGTTACATCTGTACAGAAGCTGAAGCGCTTAGATAAGAGATAACACAATAAGACTAAATATAGAATAGCAGAGTTTAGTTCATCTTCATATAATGAGGAAGTCTTATTGAGATCAAGGTCTCCTTTACAAGATACATCACAAGAAGCTATTCAGGTCACACAGAGCTGCTTTATAGAAGTTCTTTACCAAATATTGTACTGATCAGCTAAATCTATGAGCTGAATACACCCGTCAGTACACACAACAACTCTGTGAAATATTTATCACCTACACAAATTGTTATTTTATTGTTTGTTCACTCACACAATAAGATTTGCTTCATGTGTCAAAATGTGCCTGCACGTACTCCTACTCTGTATTCTGCAGTCTTTCCTCACAGTGATGCTCTCATGAGATAAAACCGCCAGTGACAAATGACACTCAAAGTTCTCAGTCGTAGCGATGCTGAACATGTGCATGGGAGGAAAAGAAATGCCCAAAGGCTCCAAACTGAGTGTGAAACAGTGCCCTCTAGAATGTAATGTGATGTCTTCATAGGATGACAGCGATTTAAAAAAAAAAAATGTCTTCGTTGTTGCCCTACATCTTCCTGACTTCTCTAGCATCTTCATTCAATTAGCATTAGTGGGCTGTTAGTGCCTCGCATGCCTGTGCATAATGAGATTGTTAGCTCAGTTATGTCTTTGTGTGTGTGTGGCAAACGAGAGCGTAGTGGAAATGAGAAGTGTTTGTCTGCATGTGAGCCTTTTCCATGTAGAGCTGCTTGTTTAAACCATGATGGACATGATGAGAGACAATGATCGAGGTGTATTATTCTAAAAAGATTGTACAAGTCATAGGCTGGTGCCCTGTGGGTTGCACATGGAAACAGATTGATGTATAGCAGAGACGTTTATTGTTCAGATGGGATGAAATGCAGACCACAAACCATGCAACCAGTGCCAGATGTCGATCTGTGCAAACGGTAACGCAGGCTGCCTATGCAAGCACATTCACATACAGAGAGAGAGAGAAAAGAAAGAGATGTGCGCACACATACTGTGGATTCATCTCTTGTACTTCTGCCTCTTTCAGGAGGACGCTGTACGAGGACAAGACCCCATCCCGGCCCATGTCCTCTAGTCCCCTCAAACAGTCTCCCAGACAAGATGCCAGAACGGTGAGTTCATCAGCGTACTTCAGACTGTCGACCACACCTCTGGACTTTCCTGCCATATTTGTCTTAGGATTCAGCAAGTGGACTTTTTCAGATTCATAAATCGCTGCAAGGTAGCTCTGATGAAACATTAAATTATTAATGGCATATCTGCCAGTGCCAATACAAATAGTAGACACACTGCTTTGCTTTTTTCTTTAATGTGGACCAATTTGGGAATTCCTGAGCTCATTTCCCCATGAAGTCGGAGGAAATTCCCTGGGCTCACAAATTGCTGGTTCACACAAAAAAAAAGAATAATGTTTGTGATCGCAACAGTTGACAGTAACGTACACTCACACACACATGCTGCCATTTTATTAGGTACACCTGGCTGAGAGTAATGCAGTCAAACCTGACAGCCCTACAAAGAACCTCCTTAATGAAGGTTTCAGCGTTAAGTTGTTGTTGAAACTCTGGTAAACAGCTGTTGATTGAACTCTGTGGTTATTTATGGGGCTGTAGGTTTTGATGCTGTCTGCTTTTATCACATTATACTCCAGGACTGTAATATTTTGCTCTACTTTATTGAGTAGGGTGAACAAAGCACATGAACTGCTTGGTTATGTGTACATTCTAATGCAGGACAGTACCACACACCTGCCTGGACATCTGTCTTTATGAATCTCATAGTGTTCACTTTTTATTATATATAAAACAAATTATTCATTTTTGCAGCAGGGCTGCAGGTGTCTCAGTGGTTAGCACCATCGCCTCGCAGCTAGAAGGTCGCCGGTTGGCGTCCCGGTGAGGACACCCGGGATCTTCCTGCGTGGAGTCTCCATGTTCTCCCCGTGCAGCGTGGGTTCTCTCCGGGTTCTCCGGCTTCCTCCCACAGTCCAGAAACATGCTGAGGTTAATTGGTGATTGTAAATTGTCCGTAGGTGTGAATGTGAGTGTGCTTGGTTGTCTGTCTCTAAGTGTAGCCCTGTGATAGACTGGTTACCTGTCCAGGTGAACCTGCCTTCACCCTGAGTCAGCTGGGATAGACTCCGCCCCCCATGACCCTGGTGAGGATGAAGGTGTAGAGATGATGGATGGATGGATTTTAGCAGTGAGATCTTGGTGATGGTGTTGTGTTGGGTTGCTTCCAATATTCTGCCACCTTCATGTTCTTTATGTAATGGAAAGTGTAATTTAGTTCACTACAACAACACCTGGGCAGGTTTTGCTCCAGAGCTGACTGGATTAACTGTACAGGTGAGCTCATAAAGCGACCAGTGAGCGTTTTCGTTGAAGCCAACATACAGTTCAGTGACTCAGCTGATAATGTGCGTCCAGAACCATTTTAAACTGCTAGTACTCATAATAAGTATGAATATCGTGTTAAACATAAGTAACGTTTAACGCGGTGCTTGTGGTTCCTGCTGTGACTCGGAGGCTGTGACACGCTGCTGTGAACAGCCGGCGACCTGCATGCCCAGCATTCCTAGATATTGAAATGAGACATTTACTCTGTTTGTTCGAGGGTGAGGCTCTGGGGCCTTAATGCCATTTTAATCAGAAGGGGCATTTAATCCTGAGCTATTCCATTCAGCGATTTCTCTGCGTCAGTGCGGTTCCGCCGAGGTACACCCAAGGTCCACACTCCACCAGATCCTAATCAAATCCAACAACATCTCTCCCCTTACTCGTCGCTCTCTCGGCTTTATTAGATATTTCCCCTATTTCGACCTTGCTGCCCAACCTCGACTTGAGTAAACTGATCTTGTATCAACAGAACCCCTGGAAGCGTTGGAATTAAACTGTATAAAACAAATCCGGAGCGCCACTGTAACAAAAGGCTGCAGAAAACAAGAATGACAGTCAGTGGAGCTGCATATGCCCTTCTTGTGGAATTTACTGCGTGACGGAAATGATGTGGAACTGCCAAACATCTGGAGTGCTGCATGTGAGAGGGAGGAGAGTGAGGGAGCAAAGGGTGGAGAGATGGAGATAACGAGGGAGTAGAGTGCTGTTAGTATGGGAGGAAAACACATGTGGGTGTACTGTATATCTGTAAGCTTTTAAAGAACCTTTTGTTGTTGCCAAGAGAGGAATTATATTGTGTCAGCAGGCAGCGATAACCTCCATCACTGCCTGCTGCGTGCTTCCTCGGGCCAAACTGCCAATCAAAGCGCTGTCAGAAATCATTTAAATTCCCTCCTCTAATTTATATCACCCCTCTCAAATGTGCTTTTGTTCCTGCTGTTGATGCGCTCTCCCACCCCCCACCCCCGTTTCCTTCTCAGGTGGATGGCGGGCTGAAGGCAGATATGTCTCCCGATGACAGTGACCTGGAGGCTCGTCTCAACAGCTGGAACCTCGGGGTGAGTCCAGAGGCATGCCTTCGGCTTCCTGGTTCCGTGCAGCTGTCAGCAGGCTGCAGCTCACTACAGTGACAGTGACGGTGAATACCTGAGCTCACGAGTACACCGACATCAGTGGTGCTGAAGAGAGCCTTGCTGCTCGCACAAACACAGCAGCCCTCTCGCCTGTGTCCTCTTGAAGGCACTTCCTTTAGGCGGTTCACTGATTTTGTAGGACGTGAGGGTCGGATGAGAAGTGAGAGAGGGGTTGTGTAAACTGAGAATTGGAAGATGAGTGCACCTCTCTTATCTTTCCTGTCTGCAGTGCACCATGCCAGGGCTTGATAAGCAACTTGCCCTCATGTCTTTTATTTCCTATCTCCTCACCTGTGTGACCCTGACTCTCTTTTCTTTTTCACTCGCCACTTACTTTCTCCTACTTTCAAATGAAGATTTCTTGCAGAAACTCCACTGTCTCTGTTTTCCAGACTCTTTCCCCGTTTCCCTCTGTTCTCATCTGTCGCCCGTCTTCCTGTCCATCCATGCGTCTTTGCTGTCCTCTCTCTCAGTACGGGGGTAATCTGGGGTATCTATCAGCAGACGTGAAGCCGTGCAATGCACCGCTCTGCTCTCCTCTGTGTTGAAACACTGATAAGAGGCATTGCTTGGCAACGCTCCCCCAAGCCTGCATCTTTCAAATCAACAGATGTTCCTTCACGCACAAACACACACAGAAACCCCCCTCAAGTTTACAGAAGTTTTAAAGATGCACGGCTTCAAAGCGCCCAGCTCCTATGAAATTTCAGCACAGCCGAGCATTACTGTATCTGGAACATCTTTTAGCTTTCCTTTAGATGTTCTGAAGCAGTCCATATTGGTTTGTTGTACATTTCACCTCTAATGTAATAAAGTCGGTGGAGTCGGCACGTTAACCATACCGGACAGTGGATGACAGATTGCATCAGACTTGCACAGCAGTTCTTCCAGGAGACGCAGAACCTGAGTTGGCTGGACTAGCATCTGTTTTAACTTTCAGTTAGTTTGTGGTTTGTGTGTCGGAGCAGCTAGTTTTATCTCTAATGGGAGCTGAGTGTTACAGTAGATTTAGGTACAGCAAAGGGGGAAAAAAGCCTGAAAAAACTGGACAAAAACAACCCAGTGCTCAGCGATAGCCGCTACCATTGTTTGTAGCTAAATGGGAGCGCTGACGGCTTGCTCAGTGCTCGTTTGAAACTAGGAAGCCATCCGTCACACAGCGTTTGTTTGACTGGAGAGCCAGTCCTTGTGATTTGGAGTGTTGTTCCTCCGGTGCATCCGTCCATCCATCCACATGAGGTTCCAATGACACAGGAGGCCGTGCCAGCTGCGAGACTAGACAAACATGTGCTTAGAGGAGCATGTGTGTGGGCACGCAGCAAAGTGTAGCACAGGCATACGTGTGCACCAAGTCCAAGTTTAGTATCGCGCTGTGCCAGCATCACACCGCAGCATTTAGTCTACAAGTCTTCCTTGCCCTGTGGGCCGTGCTCAATCAAGTCTGATGACTGGCTGTCTGTGAATATAAAAAGAAATCCCATTCTTGTTTTCAGCCTGGGCTCTAGTTTAGAGGAATATTGATTGATTCATCACTTGGTAAATGTGGATTTTTTTTTAGCCATTGCCAGATTTAAGTAGCAATTCATCACAGATCATGGCACGCACCGCTGATGCAGCTCTGTGTGCCGAGTGTGTTGTTGTTGTTGCGTGTTTGTCTGTGTGTGTGTGTGTGTGTGTGTGTGCATGTATCACAGGCACATTAAACATCACTGTAGTCAGATGTTTCCTCTTTGTTGAGGGCTTACAGTACGTCAACTAGCAAAATGTATGACCTGTTTTTACCTGCATGCAAAATCAGCCGGGAGGCGGAGCTACTTTCATCTATTCCACCTGTCACTAATTCACCCTGAAGCAACAGATTGTGACTTTATCCTCCTACTGTAGCTGTAACTATTTTAGTCCCAAGCTCTGAGGTTCTTTCAGGTCCTGTTCTCTCATCTCCCATTTATTCTGGATTAGCCTCGTGTGGGTTGTGCCACCTCACAACATTAAATCCTTCTTTTTTTTTTAAACGCTGACTGAGTCCCGCACTTCCCTCCTCTTCCTACTCTTCCTCGTTGTTCTCCTCCTTCATCCCCATGTTGAAGAGATTAGCAGCAGAACTGTTTACTGGGCGTCATTGCTGTCATCTCCAGAGTCAGCGGTAGAACTTTGAAAAGCCGTGATCTTGCTGCGAGTTGGCAGCCCCTACAGACAGCCCAAGTGCATGAGAGAGAAACGCTGTACGATAGCGTGAGTTCATAAGAAAGTAATGGGGTCATAAACAAACGTCAAACCGTGCAGGCAAAAACAGCAGGTTGTCAACAAGATATTTTTGCAGTTTGTGTCACAGCGAGTGAGCTGTATTGATGTAACGCTGCAGAGTCACATGCACTGTGACCCGCTTACTTTCAGGTGGTTTCGCTGCTCGCTCTTTTTTCAGGCTCTTGTGTTTCTTATTGTAATCAAAGAACATGCTGTGTCAGTGTTTGGCAAGGATGTATACACATTTGTCTCCATCTGATGGTAAACGGACGGGGGATGGCTTACAGATTAGTGGTCTTGAGTGTTGACAAAGAAGACAGCAAAAGAGGGTCTGCGAGCGGAAACAGAACCGGCCACACACACAAAGCCTTGAAGTAGCCCGACGCATTCTGTCTTTCTAAAGAGACAAGAGTTGACGGAAGAGACTGCAGCCACAGCACTGGGCTTTTGATGTGCTCCCCACATTGTTTATGGCAAGCTGAGGGCGGAGGTTAGATTCTGGTGGCGGTGAGGCTTTGTTAGGAGAGGAAGGAGGCAAAGAGAGGTCTAAAGTTTTTCTGTTTACTCTTTCAGATTGAAAACCCCAGGTATTTGCGAGCGAAGCCCATTCCCCTGTCACCAGTGAGTTGTGGGGGGGTCTTTGTGGGTTATTTATTTATTGTTACGTAGATAAAAGTGTTGTCTAACCTCTCTCCTTTATCTCTGCAGATTTTCAAGTCAAGCTTTGGCAGGAACAGCACCTTGGCCAACGATCAGGACTCGCAGAGTAAAGAGGTATGCACCGGAGTGAGAGTGAACACAACCTGAAAGCTTCCTCGCTCATAAATCTGCTTCTTTAGTAACTCTGATGTCATGTCTTTGTGTATCCAAGGACAGTAGGTGGTATTTAAGAAAAATGCCCTTCATATTCATTCCAGCAAGCCTAAATCCTCGCTTCTCACTGTTCAGTATGCTCAGCCTTTGTATAGAAACAAGTGTTAAACACATACAGAAGTCAAAGCTCCCTTGACTGCTTTATGGCATTAGACGCCCCCACAGCTCTGTACATACATCCACACGCATGGTTTGTATTGTTGCAATGGCCAAGGCCTTTTAGAAGACAGAAATAATGCCTGCTCCCAGTGATGACAGTTTTTTCCTTATGTGGATTTAAGCTGAAAATCCTATTCTGAAAGCATGCTTTGAAGTCCTTCTGCCCCTCCCCGACTCCCCCCGAACCACCACTCATTCCTCCCACCATCCACCTTTAACGGACTGTTAATATAAAACTGAGCATGACTTTGCTGTAATAGCCACGGCTTTTCATGGCTGCTCCCGTCGGTTAGATCAGCTTCACTGGGGGAGAGAGAGGGGAAAAACCGTAGAGACGCACGTGACAGGATGGGCGAGAATGGCCGATTTGTTGCCATGAATGTGTTTGTGGTGTTGACACTCGCTCTGCACACATCCACCCAGTCAGCCCACGGACCTGTGGGCTAGCCAGTCTAATATGAAGACATTAAAGCAGCGTCCTATGCTGTTTGATCCTACCTACCAGCGGTGTGTGGTGGGAATATAAAAGTATCTCAGGAGACCGTGTTTAATGCACACTCTGACTTATCTGTTTATTAGGTACGCCTAAGCAATCTTATGCAATCCAATATAATAGACCTGGTAAGGGCTTGTCTGTTCAACAGTTACCTTTCACTGTAACACAACACTGCTCTGACCTGTGTGCGTGTTTGAGATTCAGTTTATATCAGTGGCCTTGAATAGGAACATGTTAGGTGGAAAGCTGAAGGAACCTGACCTGGCCTGTCATTTCCAGTGAGGCCACATGCTAGCAATATGGGAACCAGTTCAGGAAAGTGACTGGGAGGGAAACAAGAGGAAATGGTGCAGAGCTGGAGGAGTGTTTTTGTTTTGCATAATACTTAGTTTAATGTCTACTGTAGTCAGTCTGTTTTCTTGTATTAACCTTTTACTATATTTACAAGCTATTATGGTTTTAATGGAGTATAAGTGGAGCTTTAGTGAAAAAGGAGACAACGAGAACGAGCATTAAAAGCAAGACTGTTGTTCCATGTCTTGCGATTTTAAAAAACATGATCCATGCCATGCTCCACCTCTCCACCAAATTACATTTTTTTCATCCTGGTAGTTTTTCTCTCATCCTACTTACAGACAGATAAACAAACAGCACTGGGACTTGCAGTGGCGACACTCAAGGCAGTTGTGTAGTCTCATGAATGTTGAAAGCGTTTGACGGTGACAGTGGTGGCAGGATTTGTCTTCCTGAAACGTTATTCCATCCGTGACCCAAAAGCTGTGATAAGATCCCAACCGTTGGCTGATCGCTTGCACCTCTACAGGCTAGTGCCACGGATCAGTCAGTCTGGTGGGCTTCCATTACATTTTGCACAAACAATTAGCAATTTGATATTCTGGATGAACTGTAATCACCTTAACTTTTCATCTATGTATTCATTTTAGTTTGTCCAATGCTTTGGTTGATGACCTGCAAAGTTAATGACATTTCCTCTATTCTCAGCTGTACTTTGTGTTTCGTGCTAATAATAAGTAGATATCGGCATGCTAACAGGCTAAAATAGACTACGATCATTGTGTCTAAGTGCAGCCTCGCAGAACATCTTCATGCCTGTAGACTGGCTTGTGGATAACACCACTGAAGTTGCAGCAGGTTGATGTTGCACCAGAAACTGACGCTTTCAGCACAACCTTTAACCAAACTCTCTTTGCACTGCCTCATCAACCTCTCACCTGTTTGCGTCTCATGTGTCCATAGAAGGCACATTAGCATGACAGCAGCTCTGTTGCTCTGTATGCGGCTACACAGGAGGTATCTCAATACAGCGCTGAACTGTACATTTAAATTAGAGAAATGCTCTTCAGCTTGCATTGAGGGCTGTACAGTACAAGTAGAAAGTGAGTTTTTGTGGACAGCTGATTGACTGAAACATCATCTGTGTAGCCACAGCTTCAGTGGGGCACGGTCTACTTTGTTGTTATGCAGAACCTTTTCTCGTGAGCGTTCCTGTAGAACCGTGGAAGCCTTGTCCAGCTGTGCCGTTGCGTGGCTGTCGAGGCTCGGTCTGGGAAATCACAGTGACATCACTTCCCGTTAATCCCCAAAGCATGGTTGAAAATTTACCCAGGTTTAAAGTGTTATACACACCACATGTCATGAAGCTGGTGGCAGCTTAACGAGCATCTCAGCTTTCACACCAAGTTCATCCTGCCACTAATCTACTGACTGCATTGATAAAAATGCAGACTGCTTCTTTCCAGTGGAACAATGACTGGCAGCTGAGGAGCTCCGCTGCACGCTGCCATTGCTGTGAGTCGCCTAGCTTATACATATGTGTTTGCTTATGGGGGAGTTGTGGAAAATGTCTTGCAGGAGCAGCAAAGTCCTGCTAATCCTTCAGCACACCCGAGCAGTGCCGTGTATCACGAGGGCTGGGTCTTCACTTGGAAATTCAATTAACTGGTGACTGATGAGTCAGGTTGAGCTACATGCAGGCCTGAGTCTTGTGATTGTGGAAGATACTGACGGAGTGATTAAAACACGCAGGCTTTCTTTTAGGGTTTGTGTGTTGGTGCTGGCTTCTATCGACCCGTTTGGTTGTTGACCTGAGGGACTGCTGGCAGCGGGCGTCGCGTGGTAGATGAGTGTGTTAGCGTCAAGCAGTCGCTGTCTAATAGTCACAAGACCCTGACTGGGGATCAGACCCCTCTGCTTTCTGATGCCATAATGATGTAGTCTCTCTAATCTAAGCATCCTTTGGGATGGCGCTTGAGCTCTCAGCCTGTGATTTGTGGGGCCATAGCCTGTCTTATCTGATCGCTTTTCAAAGCTGAAGAAGAGCAACCTAGAGAGTCTTAGTATTTTAAAGGGGACTAGTTCTGTAGTCAGCTTTCAAGATGGTGCCTCAGACCGGAGACATGAGGGATCTGCAGCGCTCCATAATGATAAAGTTACTATTTTCAGCCTTTCTGTCCTTGATTCTTGTGTGTTTGATGTATGCACACTAGAAATTTCGACAAACAATTTGTTTACTTACTCTGTGTCCAGAGCTACACTCCGCTATGAGAATTTTTCAATTTTAGCCAAAGTTTCTACCCAGCCTTCCTATCTGGACAGACTACAGTAAGTTAACTTCTTGTAGGAGTGTGGAAATGGCATCTAGCTGCTCCTCAGTAGATAGCACAAGGCTGCATACTGACTATCCTGGAGCATCTGTGTTTACTGAGGATGAAAGACGCACCAGGACATTGTACATCTCAGGCGAGATGAAGGAGATGCACAAATGCAACCTTGCTTTGTGGAGCCCAAACAGTTAGCAGACGATTTGTGAACACATCCCCCTGAGGGAAAAGGCCTTGACCTCACGCTGGTTTTGAGAGCAGAAAAAGCGACTGTTTCCGTCATCTCCTCGCATTCCCTTTCTCATACCCCTCTCTCTCTCCCACCCTCACATCCTTTCAAGAGCGAAGTGTCAAAAAACATGGCATCTTACAGCGCTCGCTGCAACTCTGAAGAAGAGAAAAGGGAAAAAGCTGTACCACCCAGTTGGGCTGATTGAAGGCGTCTCAGAAGCCTTAGGTGTACGACATTCCTCCTCCTCCTTCCTTCACTGACGCCTTTATAAACAAGTTTCAAACACCCCTGATCTAGTTTGACAAACTTTCTCCAAAGAGCATTTGAAGAGAGGATGAGAAAGTGACACCCCCACATGTGCTTTTTTTTTTTTTTTTTGTGCCGGCAGAATCAGGTCTCTGCTTACTCTTTTGCTTTTCAATCACTGCCATCTCTCTCCCCTTCTCTCCCTCTCTCTTTCTTTTTGCTTTTTCCTTTCTACTCTGACAGGTCTCCTGTGGTCCCCTCAATTGCACAAGAAATGGTGGTAAATCAAGAAAAAAGACAGAGAAGAAAGAAACAGAATACTTAACAGAGCTTTGTCAAGGATACCGTGTATAAATGTAGCTGAAGTGCAGTAATGAGGAGAGGTATCTAGAAGGCAATTTATGCGTTTTAGGTGGACTTTTATTTTTAACCGGGCTCACAATGTAAAACCAATTGCTGACATCTTAACAGAATTTAAGGTTTTTCCACCGTTTCAGTCCAAAAGCACGACGAGAATTTATTTCTCTAACATTCGGTATATTGTCTTTATTTTATTGCACCAATATTTATACACTTAAAACAATACTGCAGTTGAATCATGTTTTTATTCAGACATCACGGTGGCTTCGCTTTGATTGTTACCAAGAGACTCGGTCTAATGTGGTTTGACTGTGCCAAGTAATGTCATGGGAATTTTCTGCTTAATGGTTCTGATGACTAGAACAAACAAGAGCTAGCCTTGGGATGTTGTTAACCACCGACATGCTCACACACACACACACAACCACACATTCAAAGGAGGAACATTGTCACCCTGCTGCAGGCTTGATTAACACACCAGCACAGACAGTGACTAAACATGAGTAGTGACATCAAAGCAAATGGCCAGTCATCTTTCTGTCAGAGCTTTCCTTTGTGCCTCCATGTGCTGTGTGTTTGTGAGTGTG